CAAAAAAAAAAAAAAAAAAAAAAAAAAAAGAGCTCAGAAGATATCGTTCTGTGTATCCCTTGAGGAACCAGGACCTGCCCCAAGACTGCACTGTTGTTTCCTGGCTGATCCTCCCTTGTCTCTCTGTTCCCTCCCTTCTCTGATTAGCAAATGGTTGAATCTGCCCTTTGGGACCCAGGGAAGATCATGGAAGCTGCGGTCCGTTCCCTACAAACAAGGAACGGGGCTGTGGCGGGGAGGGGGCGACACAGAAAGGCTTCTGTGCCTAGGAGCCCCACAGGGTCCTGCTTGGTTTCAGTCTCTGCCCAAGTCTGATGAACTTTCTACTCCAGTAAGCCTTTCTCTGTGAGTCCAGGCCTTTCGCTCATTCCTTAGTTGCTCACTTCTCAAATGTTTTTGAATGTCTATGGGCATTGGGTGTGTGCTAAGCCCTGGACATCTGCACATGCAGGCTTGGCGGTCAGCTAACCCACACCAGCACAGCCCCCTTGATGCTTCTGCCAGCACCTGCTATAATGGTTGGGGACACTGCTGTGAATTGTCACACCCTGGCATTACTGGCTGCTAATCATTAAAAGAGATGTCCTGACAAACGTGTCCATGTTTTAGAAGCTTAACTAGATGAGCATAAAAAGAGGTGATGGTGGGCTTCCCTGCTCGTACAGTGGTTAAGAATCCACCTGCCAGTGCAGGGAACACGGGTTCGAGCCCTGGTCCAGGAAGATCCCACATGCCGCAGAGCAACTAAGCCCGTGTGCCACAACTACTGAGCCTGTGAGCCACAACTACTGAGCCCATGTGCCACAACTACTGAAGCCCATGCACCTAGAGCCTGTGCTCCACAACAAGAGAAGCCACCGCAATGAGAAGCCCGCGCACTGCAACGAAGAGCAGCCCCTGCTCGCCGCAACTAGAGAAAGCCCATGCGCAGCAACAAAGACCCAATGCAGCCAAAAATAAATAAATAAATTTATGGAAAGAAAAAGAGGTGATGGCTTTGGAGGGTGGAGTAGAGGGTAAAAGGATCACTTCACTTCTGTTGTCACAAGGACCCTCCTCAAAACCTTTTTGGAATTAGGTTAGACACTCGTGCATGAATCAAAAAAACAGTGATTCAAGCATAACAACTCTGCCCATTACTTCCTTTGTAATTCTTCAGCAGATGTAATCGTTCAGCAAGGAATAAAGACATCCCAGGCCGTCTCTAGTACACGAAGTTTTTTCTGTTGTATTTTCCTTCCTGCCTGTTAGTGAATTTGTGAAAATAGATGTGCATTGAAAAAAAAAATTATAGGGGAAGGGAGGGTGACAGACACTTTGAATTCCTCTCTAGATATTTACAAACTAGGATGTTTTGTAAACAAATATTCGAAAGAACGATTTTAGTGATTTAAAAAAAAATAAAGCACGTTTATAAACCAGACTTTAGATTAGACTTAAGCTCTGTATCCAGAAGGGTCGAGAGCACCAAATTATAAACAATAAAAGACTAAAAGAACTAAATGACTTTGCAGAACTTTACATTATTTACTGAGTATTCCTTGGCAAACAGTTTGAACAGTAATAAAATGTTAAAAATTGAGCTATTTACATGCATTTACATTCAACACATAACCATGCTTGCTTAAAAAAACAGCTGCCTGTTTGCACTTCAGTATCTATTCATAGCAGAAT